GAAACTAAACAGTCAAAATGATCAGCAATATAAGATAAAAAAAAAACAAGAGATTTTTGTCATTAATTCTATTCTCGTCTACAATGTTGGAGAGTGTCCATTGTTGAATATGCATATAGATCAAGGTGAGCGACACAGGCTCTGTAGAGCCTTTAGTTTCCATTTCCAACAAACTCTTACATGACTATTTTTGGTTAATTTTTGTGTTTTTGCCTATTGTCTCGAAAGCCATAATCGATAGATAGGAACTATAAAAAGCAAAAATGACCAGGCATACAAAATATTCAAAAACATTATAAAAAGGCTGTATACTTAAAAATAAGTTATTGTTTAAAAAAAAAACTTTTTTTGTTGTGAAATATACAAAAAGATTTCAAATGCAATATATTTTGCAGGTGAGAGATGCTCTTGTTATGTCCTGCTTCGAAAGAGGGGAGCATTATGTTTTATGTTCTTTGTGTCCTTAGATAGTTTGTTCGGCAATGTAAAACATTTGGTTAAAGGTAGTTTGTGAAGTTGTCTCATCAAATTAAAGCTAAGTACACATGTTCATTATGATCTTACAATTATACTTTTTAACAATTTATGCTTTATTAGGGTTTTGATCCAAATTGTGTAGATCACTAGATGTAGGAGCTGGGCTTGGTGTTATATGAACACATGGTCTTGTTTTATTTATAGTTCCTACTTTCTATATATCTATACAGCTAGTACGTGCTAAAGGTTATTGCTAAAAACAAACATAAAAAATACTCAAACATATCCTTGTTGACAACTTCCAAAACAAAATCCTTTTTTTTTTTGCCTAGTATCTCAAACACTATAATGGGTAGGTGAATATATAAACATAAAAAAAATGAATAATACAAGATCTACAAAAATGCTTAACTAGAAGCGAAAGATACCAGAGGGACATTCAAACTCATAAGTCGAAGTTAAACTGACAACGCCATGGAGAAAAATAAAAAGACCAACAAAAAATAGTACACAACACACAACATAAAACAGTAAAGACTTAGCAACACGAACCCCACCAAAAACTGAGAGTGATCTCCGGTGCTACGGAAGTGTAAGCAGATCCTTCTCCACATGTGGCACCCGTCGTGTTGCTCATGTTAGTACAAACCCGGTAATACGTCTAATTCGGTAGGTAACATTGAAGAAAAGGGGACGGGATTGTAGTTAGACATTAGTAACATATCGTCTGTGAAACGGATATTCCATAATGGTCAACCAACTCGTGATGGCGTCCGTAAAACTTGCGAAGGGGTGATTTCAACTTCACCACTTCTTGGTTTAATAGCTTCCTTGTGAGCAGCAACCTTGTATCAAGGAAATCATGATAGGAAATACAAGCCCTTGAATATCGTATCAACTGGGAAATATATACTCCGTATGCAGGCGCTGCTGGAATGTTGCTACATAGAAATGGAAAGTTCACAATTCTGAAACTGAAATCATCTCTTTTGTGGTAAAGTTTGGTTTTCAACCGACCCTCATTGTCAATTTCTAGATGTAAGTCAAGATATGAGGCAAACTTAAAAAATGTATTAACTCTATCTGTTGTATCCTTTATCACAAGCTTGACGACACTGGCTACGGTTACATTGAAATGTAACAATAATAAAAAAAAGTTATTGTTACATTGGAGACTAATTACCAGAATGCAGGGTCGGGTAAGGAACCGTTTAATAACTAATGTAACAATAATATTTGTGTCTACGGTTACTTTGTGTTATTGTCACATTAATGCACTTCAATGTAGGCTGTGACTAGTAATATATATATTAAAATAAAACTTGAAAACTTTTATTTGAATTTTACAGTATTACATGCAATTTTTATACGCCCGTCAAAATTTTGACGGGACGTATTATGGTATACAAATGTCGTCTGTCCGTCTGTCCGTCTGTCCGTCCGTCCGTCTGTCCGTCTGTCCGTCTGTCTGTCCGGCGTAAACATGTCGCACCGTAACTTGAGAACGACTTATCCAAATTTCATGAAACTTAACATAGGTGTTTCTTATGATGGTCAAACGATCTGTATACTTTTTGGTGAAAATAAGATTAAAACTTTTTGAGTTACGGGACTTAGTAACTAAAACCGGTGTATGTTTTTTTCACATGTCGCGCCGTATCTCAAAAACAATTTATGATTATTGCTTAAAACTTTACACACTTCTTAGTTATATTAATCTTAAGATCTGTATACTTTTTGGTGATGAACCAAAATTTTATTTTTGAGTTATTGAGTATTTGTAAAAAAAGGGGGAGGGGTTTTTCACATGTCGCGCCGTATCTCAAAAACGATTTATGATTATTGCTTAAAATTTTACACACTTCTTAGTTATATTAATCTAAAGATCTGTATACTTTTTGGTTTTGATTCAAAATTTTATTTTAGAGATATTGAGTTTTTTGTAAAAAAAAGGGGGGTTTTCATATATCGCGCCGTATCTCAAAAATGATTTATGATTATTGCTTAAAATTTTACACACTTCTTAGTTATATTAATCTAAAGATCTGTATACTTTCTGGTTTTGATTCAAAATTTTATTTTTGAGATATTGAGTTTTTTGTAAAAAAAAAGTTTTTTTTCACATGTTGCGCAGTATGTCAGAAATTATCTATGATTATTGCATAAAAATTCACACACAAGACCACGGGCGTATCATGCGCTCATGGCGCAGCTGTTTATTTAAATTTTTATTAACAATGACAGTTTTGGTAATAGGTATCACTTCATCCATTGTTCAAAGTATAATGACAGTAATAAGGGTACACTTTTCTTCTTTACATAGAACCATCCCCTTGAACTTTATTTTTCACCTTTGGCACTGCTAAACTGTAGTAGTATCTTGAAGAACATTAAAACAATTAATACTCAAAACTATTTAAATACTATTTGTTATTATTATCAAGTACATATCGAAGAATTAACCAACAAAACTATAGAAGATTAAAGTTTAATAAATCTAACGTAACAATAACACAACTTAACCGTAGACACGAATATTATTGTTACATTCTTAATTTATCAGTTCCTTACCCAACCCTACATTCCGGCAATTAGTCTCCAATGTAACAATAACTTTTTTATTATGTTACATTTCAATGTAACCGTAGCCAGTGCCATCTTTTTTACGAAACAAAGCAAGACCAACTCTATCAATTTGTCTTTAAGTTTGGAATGGGGAATACTTGCGTAAAGTGTAGAGAAGTCAAATGTTTTAATACTATAGCAAGATGAAAGAGTCTTATATTGTATGTACTCTAAAAGATCTTTTTATTTGTTTTAGTATCCACACATGAATCACGGCACCTCTAGAATAGGTAGTTTAATAAATAACTTTGAAGCCTGGCTTTGATTGTTGATAAAATTGCGGAAAAAGGTTTCGTAGAGCACTTGGAAGACCAAGCTTTATACCGTTGTTTGTAAGGACACTTATGTAGCGTATGTATCCAATACAGTGATTAACGACCTCACAGACTTAATCCATTCGGAAAGAGTATCTACGTCTCGACCAAATATTGGATAAGTCTGTAAGGAGTTATTGCCCATAAATGACGATTTTAGAACAATGTTCGTGTTTTTGCATAATATGCAGAAAATACAAGATCTACAAAAATGGAAAAATCATGACCGAAGCCATTTGATAACTCCTGCAGGAGTTATTGCCCTTAAATGATGTTCTTTATTCTCTAATTTTCATGTGTGTGGCTAATATAGTAATAATACAACAAACTTTAATAGACAGGTAGAAACTGTTAAAAGTAAAAAGGATCAGCATTTCAAGATCTACTTAACAAAATGCGAAATGACCAATAAAATTCTTATTGGAGTTATTGTGCTTATAAGACGATTATTGACCACTTTTCTTGTTTTTGACTTGTAGTCTTACACGCAAATAGATAGATAGAAACTTTAATCAGCAAAATAATCATTGGATGACTCCTTTAGGAGATATGGATCTTTTATAAAAAGTTTTCACTCATTTTTTGTGTACTTTGACCAATTACCTTAAACCTTTACGACAATAGATGATGGAAGACCAGTGATAGCGATACCTTTTCATGGATTTTTGTAATCCTTCCCCCTCCCCACAGCAGCTAGAAGAAAGGGACATTAAGGTTTACCCTTGTACGTCGGTAGTCCACTTCGTTCTCTAACTTTAGTTTGCCTCAACCAAATGTTATAAAACTTGAACACACTGCGTATTACGGGACGACCATTTGGTATTCTGAGAGGGAATCAGTAGGATTTTTTTTTCGGATTGACTATTCATTTTCATTCGTTGCAACGCATGCATTTTTTAGCTTTTGAGCACGATCGATTCCTGCATTTTGAGTTGCATGTTCATTTTCATCCAGTCTTATGCAAGGTAATTTATGATAAACTTTTCACAGGCCAGGTTATTTATTTTTAAAATGGGTGGGAAATTGCTGAATTTGCCGTATATTCACACGTGGGGGCATCTATGCGACATGGACACATTCCTTTATTAGATTTTAAACTGAAGTTATCAAATGCATTTGGAAAAGTGTTTTTGGTAACCTTATATGAATATTATAATTTAGTAAATTTACTGCGGTTGCAACTCCCTCAAGAAATCTGAAGGTTGGTGATCATTTGCTCTTATTTTCGTGCCTTTTTTGGTGCTGTGCTCTTAATTGATTAAGTGCAAACGTTTCATAACCTAATGAATTTTTTTTTTCAATAATACATCATGTTTGCATGAAAATCTTTGTAATGTATGTTTATTTCTACACCTGTGCAGTGAATATTTTAAAGTATTTGAATTGAATGTATTGACCAGCTATAAACATGTTTTGAATGTGTGAGCACTATTCCTGATGGCCTGCTGTGCAAAAAAATGGTTCGAATCAGTTCCTATGAAAAGATATGAATAAACTTGAAAAAATACCAACACTATTAATTATTTCAGTTCAATCACAAGAAACTGACACCAATTCTTTTATCCAGAAATATCATATCCTACATCATTAAGTAGAACTTTATTTTGGCAATTTTTATTTTATATTTGTAAATGTATAAATTTATAAACAAAACTATATTATGTATATTTAGTGTAATCTATTATAACCAGTATGACAGTTTATGACTTTAATACATTCAAAATATGTTAATAATATAAAAATCCTTTTAATACTGTCATCCATTATATTTCATGAATAAACATAAAAAAAGAAGTTATCAATTTGACTAACAAAAGTCCTGTATCAAAAACCAAACTGGTCTTCAGAAATTTAAATGAAAATTATAGTTTTTGAAAGAAAATAGATAGTAATCGGTGCACGTAAATTGAGTAATAATATTTATAACAGTACCATTTTTACTGCACCAGATGTGTTTTTTAACACAATTGTCTCTTCAGTTATTCTCGAGGCCACAAAACCAAGCGACACAAAAAGTATGCTAGTAGCCAAATCGGGACAACGAATCAGATCTTTGCACGAGGGAGGTGTATTCCTAAATTTGAAATAGTTTCAAAACTGTTGTAACAGTAAATTTCAATAGAACTATTGCAGTTTTTTTAACCCAGTACTGAAGTACTTGCTACAAGGCTACTACTAGGCTGATGATTCCCTGAGAGTTATTTCCATTTGCCGCCCGGTAAAAGGTCTTCGAGCACAAATCCCTTCATTAATGAACCTAATTCAGCTTGTTATACTGACCTCTAGATTTTAGAACAAAAACATTAGTAAGGATCTCTTCTCATACTTGCTGTTAACATGTTACTTAATTTGGGAAGTCAAATAAGATATCAACTAATACCTGCAACATGGCAGCTAATGGGAAATAGCTCCAACTCAAATTACATTATTGCTTTTTAAAACTACCTTTAGTATCCCTTTATCTGATTCAGGATTACATATAGGTAACGGAACATCGGAAAAAAATGTGGAGATATTATAAAGCGCTACGCCGAAGTTAAATCAAATCAAGTAGTGAAGATGCTACCCTCAGAAATGCAAGGCATAATTATGACATAACTTATACCCATCGGGTTTGATTAATATAAAATATTACAGCTATGATTCTGGATGAGGGAGAAACCTGTTATTTATTAAATAGTCTCCATCCTGGGTTATTAGTCGTATTTAATATCCATCAGGGTGGCCATGTTTCCTGAAGTCAGAGTTAGCTGTTACTTCACCTTCTTGTTGTTGAAGAATGCCTTGAACAACACATCCGGCACTGTCTTTCAATGTGATATTATGCCCTAGTCTAATCAATCCATCCAAAATGTACTATAATACGAAAAGCAGAAACTTATCACATTAGAAAATATGAGCGTTGGTTGACGCATGTTTGGGTGTAGGATAGGGTATACATGTGATAATTTAAGGTTTAATTTTTATATTTGTGCGTCCGAAGTGCTTTTTTTGACTTTGTAGAGTTTATGACATTTTGTCGCGGAAGCAAGACATATTGACCCTACATTCCTTCGGCGTGGTTTAGTGTTGTCAACGTTTAAGTTCAGTATATGGTTAACGCTTTTGGACATCGATAACTTTGTCACACCTTCAAAGAAATTGACGATACCTTGACAGAAGAACTTGTTTTATTATCGAACGAACGTATCCAAATCTCAATGTCTGAAAACGTGATTTGTTTTCAGTATTTTATAAACAAAAGTTACATTTACATTCAGTCTACGACATTTTTAGACGTCATTGATTTTATAAAACCTACATCGAATATTATAAAACTAAGACACAAGCTTCTACAAAATTAAGAACTGGCATTTGAAGAAAAACATTTCATTAAAAAGATATCTGTAAATAAGCAGTCTTGTTATGCTTAGATTTCGGGCATATTTTTCAAAGATGTTTTGTTTATAGACAAAAAGTGTCAACTTATAATTCTAAGAGTTGAAAAGACAATGAAATACAACAATTAGACGATTTTTTTTCAGCAGTCTCACTTTAATATTATACATGTACTAGTTAGTGTTTTGGTCCTAAATTTATCCTTAGACTGTCATTGCATTATTTTTCTATTTGTTTGATGTGTTTGAGCTTTTAATTTTGCCATTTGATAAGGGTCTTTTCGTTTGAATTTTCCTTTGAGTTACATTTTTTTGCTATTTTACTTTTTTTTTAAACAATATTAATAGCGCATACTTGCGGAAATCCTTTTTCTACGTCTATTTGTGCTGGAAGTAACTGATGGTGTAATCTTCTGTGATCAATAGCTTCTTTAATATCCATGCCTAGCCATTGTGTTAAAGCTGTCACCTGATGATAAAGGGTAAACAGTTCTTGTAACTGACAAATACTAAATGCTAATGTTTTGTTCAAGTATTATGTGATATACGTTCTTCAAATAGTGACAAAATAACATATGACATACCAGCACCCCGTTTTCCAATCAAATGTCGATTTTCCCTCGAAAATTCGTAGAGCATGAAATTTATTACTTGAGTGAATTAACGCTTGCAAACAAAAGGGCTTTTTCTCGTTTGAATTGTGTTACATTTGTGATTTCGGGGCCTTTTATAGCTGACTATGCGATATGGGCTTTGCTGATTGAGGGCCGTACGGTGACCTATAGCTGTTAATTTTATGTGTTATTTGGTCTCTTGTGGAAAGTTGTCTCATTTGCAACCATACCACATCTTCTTTTTTATATTTACAATCAAATGACATCAACGGAGCAGCAAATCGGAAAAAAAGAGGTAAACCAAGATAAAGTATTATTATTATCAATATAAATTAGATAAGACTCTTGCAGACAATTGAATAGTGCTGTTTTTAATAGTTGCATTGCAATTGTACGGAAATTAAGGCAAAATAATATGTTTCTGATCCATCATAATATGTTTCTGATCTATCATATGATATATTTCGTGCTACTCAACTGGTCATTATAAAATCTGGCAATGATACAATGGTGTACTAGTTCGAATCACAAAGGACGGCTTTTTAACTTTAATTCACCTAAACACAGCGGTTAATTTTACAGCTGACCCACACTAAAGCTTGCGTAATTGTACTGCGAACCAAATTCAAACAAGAAGTCAAAAGTGTACTACTCAACAGCAATACACATTTAATGTGTATACTCATCAACACTGAAGACTTTGTAATTGTATATTCCTCTTCAACACAGACGACATTTTAATTGTACAACTCACCAAAGCAGTAGATGTTGTAATCTTTGAACCACCTGAAGCTCCAACTACTATATTAACCATTCCATCAGAATTAACAACTATACTTGGACACATTGAGGACAGCGGACGTTTACCAGGCTTTATAAAATTTGCTGGAGACGCAGGTATGCCAAAAGAATTAACTGTATTAGGTGTAGAAAAATCATCCATTTCATTGTTGAATATAATACCGGTACGACTTCCAACTACTTTAGACCCAAAACTGCAAAATTGAAAAGTATAGTATTACACATGTGTATGAAATAGACAAACATCAAATAGTTTAAACTTTCAGGTAAAGCAATCAAGGCTAGCATAAAAGAACACAATAAAACTCCAGTCTTTCAAGTGAAAATCATGGAATCTTCGTGGGAAAAAAATCGAAATTATTCGTTAAAGATTATGTAAGGTTGTGAAAGATATCAGTTTTTGGTGGGGTTCGTGTTGCTTAGTCTTTAGTTTTCTATGTTGTGTCTTGTGTACTATTATTTGTCTGTTTGTCTTTTTCTTTTTTAGCCATGGCGTTGTCAGTTTATTTTCGATCTATGAGTTTGAATGTCCCTCTGGTATCTTTCGCCTCTCTACTAGTATAACTGAAATGTAATACACATGCCTCTAAACTTATTTTCTTGTATTTTATTATTCTTTTGAAATAAAATTACAACTGGTTCAAATTGGACTTTTGTGAGGCAGTATCGTCAAACATCGTTTTATGAGGTGCAAACAATCAACAACGATACCAGGCTTATAGATTGTTACACAAGACGGGCGTTCTGTCTTCAATTGAACATTATATTTAGAAAAATATTATATATCAACAAGTAAAATGCAACGTTATTAAAGGCGGTAATGATATAGATATGAATGAAAAATGTGTTTCTTGTCATTTCAAGCTCTCTAATCACCGTAATTTAAGCAGAAACACAACTGTCAGTAAGACCAACGCTCATTAATTATGCAAGCATGGATAGTGCACGTCACGAGCGATGACTTTGACATTCAAGAAAAGCTTAGGACATGGTATTCAAATGCAAAATCTGGTATAAAGTACTTTGATTTCACCTAATATTAGAATTCAATCCACTTCATTTGGCTGACACACTCTTCTTTTTCTGATGATTTTTATGAAACAATTATTAGATTTGATATAGTTACTAGTAGTAGTAGTTGGATACCCTGTGAGCTGATTCAATCAAAATATGGTATTTTTGCACAGTCATAAAGTCGACGTAAAAGTTTTTAAATACTTCATGTTCGACTGAAAAGCAAAATAGAACACCATTGGATGCGCGTTTATATTTGAAATATCTATTACAAAAACAACACTCCATGTGCAGTTTTTAAAATGCACATCATTTCCCTGCGGTGCTTACTAGGACTTAATTTGTCTGTATATCAAACTATAACCATAGTCTAATATAACCTTATTGATGACAATGCATAACACTTTATAAATTTGATGCGTCCGAATTTAACTTTATTAGAACCCTCACACCAATTCATTTTGAATCGAACAATGCAAAATGACTTGAATACTTTACGAGCTATATGATAAAAAAAGAAATCTATGGTCACTTTTACATGAGAACTATTGAATATAGTTATTGAAAATACCTGCAGTAACCAGTTATAAGGGAATTTCAATTTTTAAATATAATGTATCTAACTGTTCACTACATAGACACATCCTAGTATAAAGTGTTTGCAATATTTGGGATCCGGCAAATATTCAGTTATTTCCAAATGGAGTATCTACCAGTCTAGTAGCTGACATGAACTATCTTTGATATGTAATTTTTTTCCTAACTTTTATGTTCATAAACTGTAAAACACATTCGAAAAACTAAGGTATGTCTACTTCTAAGCAAAACAAAAGCTGGATTAAAGACTCACAGTACATCGAAATGATTTAATCAACATCTAAAAGAGTGGTAAACTATAAGGGCTGTCAGGAAATATACGAGGAAGGAAAATAAAATAACATCACAGAGCAAGAAAATAAAGAGGAAAAGAAAAAAAAAAACAGTCCGCAAAACATGACAAAGAAAAAGAAAATATTGATAACCACTTCTCGGAAAACCACAGGGTACACTCGGTACATTGTAGCACTGGAAATGTTATCCTGAGAAATGCAAATCCTCTGATACGGATACGGCGGGAAAAGTTCACAAGAAGAGTAGTTAAGTTAACTAGACATCATTGAGATGGGAGCCATCTCTGTGGGCCCCGCTGTGAATAACGTGTGGTAAAAAAATTGTATCTTTACCATAGGGGTTCTCAACTGAAACCAAAGTTGTTTACTTTGACCTTCGACCTGTACATATATTATGACACACCCTCTGGTGTTTGTTAATATACAGGTCAAGTATAAACTTTGAAATCATAACGGTTTTCAAGATATAGAGCGGACACGATCTTTACCACAGGACATGGGGTGTTCAACTGAAACCACAGTTTTTGACAATGACCTTCGACCTAGGAAGTTGTACAAACATTATGACACACCCTCTGGTGTTGGTTTATATACATGACAAGTATAAACTTTGAAATTATAACGGTTCTCAATATATAGAGCGGACACGATCTTTACCATAGGACATGGGGCTGTGAACTGAAACCAAAGTTTTTTACCTTGACCTAGACCTAGGAAGTTGTACATACATTATGACACACCCTCTGGTGTCGGTTAATATACATGTCAAATATAAACTTTGAAATCATAACGGTTCTCAAGATATAGAGCGGACACGATCTTTACAATAGGACATGGGGTTGACAATTGAAACCAAAGTTTTTGACCTTGACCTTCAACTTAGGAAATTGTACAAACATTACGACACACCCTCTGGTGTTGGTTAATATACTTTCCAAGTATAAAGTTTGCAATTATAACGGATCTCTAGTTATAGAGCGGACACAATTTGTTACGAACGGACGGACAGACTAATCACTATAGGGCTTCCGCCATTCGGCGGGGCTCTAATTATAGAAATGTCGACTGCCTTGGGAAATGCAACACAAGTAGTTATATCAACTTGTGTTACTATTCTATCATTAAAAAGTTCTATTTGAAGACATGTATTTTTGTTACGATTTAACGTACGGTGCGAATTAAGCATTGCTTTTGTGACGTTATTAAGCGTCAAACGGTAAAATGGAATTGCAAGCTTTATTAAAAAAAAATGTGTTCAGTGGCGAGTTATGGCTTTATAGCAGGTGGCGCTAAGCAAATCAATGCACCAATCCTAAGTCGGGAGCCTGTTGTTCAGTGGTTTTTGTTTGATAGTGTAATTCATAAGTGTTTTTCGTTTCTCGTTTTCTATATAAATTAGACCGTTGGTTTTCCTGTTTTAATTGTTTTACACTAATCAGTTTAGGGCCCTTTATAACTTGCTGTTCTGTATGAGACAAAGCTCCGTGTTGAAGACCGTACTTTGACCTATAATGGTTTACTTTTACAAAGTGTGACTTGGATGGAGAGTTGTCTCATTGGCACTCATACCACATCTTCTTATTTCTATAGGGATATCAAACAGAGCAATCCATTTAAATATGAAATGCGTTATCATTGATATGATCATAGGTATAAATTACATGTAGCTGTTTATAAAATTTTTCGAAATGCTACTTAGGATTTCCTACCCCGGGAATAGGTTACCTTAGCTGTATTTGGCAAAATCCTTCGGTAATCTGGGTTAGCAATGCTATTGAACATCGTACTTTATTTGACCTTTTTAATTTTCTGATTCGAGCGTCACTGATGATTATTTAGTAGACGAAACGCGTGTTTGTCGTACAAAATTTAAAACCTGGTATCTCTGATGAGTTTATCGACTCTTTAAAATTAAAGAGTCTATCCTAAATTGAGGTATATTATATGGCCTTCCAAATACCGTTTCGATCCCTAACATCACTGAAGAGACATTAATTGTCGAAATCCGGATATGGTGTCCAAATTTTTGCACCTAATGTTTGCGGTATACCATCTTCTCCGCGAGTTTATTGTTTTCTGTTTGGTATTAAATTAATAATTAAGATCCATGTTACATCTCGTGATCAATTTATTTGGCAATCGTCAATGGCAGTCAGCAGGGTTTAAGAACATCAGTTGTTCGACCTGTTAGTCAAATGCGATTTGTTAAGATAAACTTTTCACTTTTTTGGTCTTTTGGAAAATGTTGTTTGTGCTGTATTTAGACCCCTCTACCAAGAAATTTGTTTTGCATGAACACGTATAAAAAATTGCGGTTTTTATCCAACGCAATCATAGGTTTGAACGTTGTTTTCAATTTACACTTGTATATATATATATATATATATATATATATAAGTGCCTATAAATAACAACACATAACATACAAATCTATTTGAGTGTGGATTAATCAGTACAAAGTTTAATTTAATTACACAAATGAAATTATAAATTGCCTAACAATTTTAACACACTATTGCGTATGTAAATATTACAATGTTTAAAATATTTACAACGCGATTAAAAATAAACGCAATATTTCGCTAGACAAACTAGCTTCATCAAGCGTGCATCTATCCAGGTGAAATCGGATGTAGATAAGAAACTTTTGCAGCTCATTTTACATAAATTTAGCTGTCTTGTAAAGAATTCAAAATTTCGATGAAGTTCAAGATTATTAACAAAATTGGTGGTTGAAGTTTGCAACATCTGCTCCCGGGGTATCCCATTCAGCCAGGCATTGCGAATCAAGAGAATATGCTCAACCGAAAATAAGCAAAATGATAAACTTGGACAACTACGTAAACATCTAGTTGTTCGAGAATACAATAAAAACATCATTGATACAGCTTTCGAAAGAGCAAAAACTCTAGTCGCCATGAACTTCTGGAGTACAAGGATAAAAATAAAGTAGTCAACAGAACACCTCTTGTACTCACTTACCATCCTGATTTTAAAAATGTGTCATCCATTGTTCAAAAGCATTGGAAAATTGTAGAAAATAACCCCAATTTAAAAAAAGTATTTTCCTCACCACCAGTCATGACCTTCAGAAGACCCAAAAACATCCGTGATAAATTAGTGAGAGCTGTATTAACAAAGCAACCTTCTCCAACTCCAGGTTGCTACAAACAATGTGGCAGAAGGAATTGCTTATGTTGTAAAGCTGCCAATACAAGCAGTTCTTTCATCAGCTCCCTTACAAAACAAAGTTATGCCATCTACTCAAATTCCAACTGTAAAACGGAGAACTCAATTTATGTACTTACATGTAACACTTGTGGCATTCAGTATGTGGGAGAAACAATGGATAAATTTAATATTCGGCTTAATAACCATCGTTCATGGTATAAAACCAACAAAAACTGTCCTCTCACAAGACATCTTCGCTCAAAGAAACATCCTTTTGATAAAGTTACTTTCCAAATCATAGAAGTCAACACCGAGTGGGACACCACGGCAAGAAGGAGAAGAGAAAACTTTTGGAACCACCAGCTTCACACTTTAGAACCTGATGGTCTTAATGAAAAAGACGAGAAAAGATACAAGAAAGATAAAGAATAATTTAGTACACAGCATCGTCCTTTTTATCCTGTGATATTGGCCAACGGACGTTGCAAACTTCAACCACCAATTTTGTTAATAATCTTGAACTTCATCGAAATTTTGAATTCTTTACAAGACAGCTAAATTTATGTAAAATGAGCTGCAAAAGTTTCTTATCTACATCCGATTTCACCTGAATAGATGCGCGCTTGATGAAGCTAGTTTGTCTAGCGAAATATTGCGTTTATTTTTTATCGCGTTGTAAATATTTTAAACATTATAATATTTACATACCCAATTGTGTGTTGAAATTACATTGTTAGGCAATTTATATATAAATATATATATATTTAGTATCAAGGATTTATTCTAAAGTGAAATAAACTTACAAATTGTTATGCTTTATCATATATAAGAATACTGTCCTTCAATTTGTTTTATTGGGTCTTGGACAGGTTTTATAAAACTTGACCAAACCAAGAGCACATCATCATTACTAATCAGACGTATGTGTCTCTAAATTCCCCTAAAAATACTTACTAAAGATTGATTGTGCTTGTCACAGATACCGCATCTCCGTTTGGTGCCAATACTGACAGATGTGCCGTCCCTGTTGTTACGTCGTCGTAAAATGTCGGACCATAATAATTTGTTCCAAACGTCTGACTATCAGAGATCTGTGAACGTATATTTTCAGCATAGGTCTCTGACGTCATATTGTGCACAAGCTAAAATAAATGTCACGATTGACGAGTTATAAATTGTTTTCTTTATTTCGAGGATTTGAAACATTACACTGTAGTTTTTTCTTTAAAACAGACTAGGAGAATTATCAATCAAAATTTCGCGTACGTATCATGTTGACATCTGATCATGGCGTTCAGAACTTTTTTTGTAAAAAGCGGACTTTGGGTGCTGTATAAGATAAAGTTATGATATCGGCTCCCAATGTTCATTGCCATTTTAGTCAAACCAAAGTATAATGTTGGTTTTCAACAGGCTTTTTTTATTACGGTTCATCTACTTGAGTCGTCAGACGTCAGACAAATATTTGAATGATAAAATTCTATGAGCCGAGGAATAGGACTTTCAATACCCGGTATTGTTGCTATTTTTTTCTTCTTCATTTTAGTGATAGAAAGTAAAATCACAAAAATACCGAACTCCGAGGAAATTTCAAACTGATAGTTCCTAATCAAATGACAAAATGAAAAGCTCAAACGCATCAAGCAAATGGATAACAACTGTCATATTCCTGCCTTGGTACAGGCATTTTCTTGTGTAGAAAATGGTGGATTAAACCTGGTTTTATAGCTAGCTAAACCTCTCACTTGTATGATAGTCGCATAAAGTTCCATTATATTGACAACAATGTGTGAACAAAACAAACAGACATAAGAGGTAAAAATGTCAAAATAGGGGTACAACACTCAACATTGTGTTATAATCTTAATCGCTATAAAAACAAACAAATATGTAACAAAGAAACACAAAAAGGCATATAGACGAAGCACATAAATGTACCATAACAATGACGGGGTGTATAAGTACAGAGCCACGTCAAATGAATATCACCAAAAATAGAATAAACAGAATTGTCAATTTAAGTTACTAGTAGTATATTACCGACTTAAGCACAATGAAATAATTACATTAAAGTATTTAACTTAGTTGTTGTTAAAAACACCGAAAACATTTTCCACGCTAATTTTCTCATTTTTTGCACCGTATTTTTAAAATTTTAACTAGAACAACATTGTGGGTCCGTGAGTGAATTAAAGTACCTACGCCTTTTTTTAAGCCTGGAATTTTAGTATTCATATTATCATCTGATGAAGTCATGCTGCTCATAAGGTGTTTATAAGGTGCACAGATTTCTCTGTTTTAAAATCGCTTTTATTTGAAACCGTTTTGGTTTTTCTACATCCGAAAATTACATATGACATATACTATTGGTATCGGTATCGGATTCGACCCGGAATCTAAGTAAGTATGAGTTCTTATGTTTGATTATATACTTGTATACTAACTTCATTCAATTCTTGTCTAAAAGCATCATCTTCGGCGTCTCCATCACCAAGGCTCGTTCGTTTAGCATAGGCAAACTTGAATGCTTCAATAATTCTGTGCCATGTTAATATTTCTTTTTCTTTCGAGGACAGACTGTCTTTACTTAGTTTATATCCTGAAAAAAAATCCGTCGTTTGAAGAACATTTTGTGAGAATATTGATAGTTATTCTTTTCTGATAACTTTACTTTTGGCATAATGGTAGCGTCCAAATTTAATTGGATATGACTTTCCCTTTCATAAAATTGAGAATGGAAATGGGGAATGTGTCAAAGAGACAACAACCCGACCATAGAACAGACAACAGCAGAAGGTCACCAACAATAGACTATTTATGTAAGAGCATTTACTAAGTCAAATGCATGAAAGTTTTTTAAAGTATGCCCAAATGTAAATAAAATATCCCTTTAATCATCAATGAAAGATAATTCCCTGTTGCAACTTCTCAATGAAAAAAAACAAGGCTGTATATAACGTTTGGAACGCTGTAAAGCGTGTGACAAACAAATAATATTGGTGCTGAGAACGAACTGTGCACCTCTCCTTGCCGAACTCTTCTTATTTTCATATGAGTCGGAGTTCCTTCGAGCACTTGTCATAAAAAAGAAGATCAAAGAAGCCATAGCATTTAACTTCACATTCAGATATATTGATGTATTCTTTCCATTATCAATCTAAACTTTTCTGATTGGGTTCCATTAATATATCCTCTAGAACTATAAATTAAAGAATTAACAGGTACGGCTTCCTCTGCCTCATTTTTTTACTTATACCTCGAAATTGACATAAGCGGTCATCTCAGTACCAGAATCTATGACAAAACGAGACGATTTTAATTTTGAAATTATCAATTTCCCGCACCTTAGAGCAATATACCAACTTCTCCTGCATAAGGGATATACATTTCCCAACACATTCGTTATTCAGACTTTATAAACGTCACCAGTGTCTGAGCAGAAAGTTGATGAACCAAGGTTATGTCAAAGAACGTCTCGTCCTTTTTCTAAAAAAGTTCATCGAAAGATACCAAGACCTTGCTGATATTCCGTATCAACTTAATAATAATAGGCCTTTCCAAAACATGCGTTAAGGTAGATTCACTGGATACCGCCATCTTGGATTGTTCAATAGCAGCAGTACACAATCATACTAGTTCTTTGCCTAAATCTGCAAACTTTGAGACAGATTCGCAATTTATGTGTAAAACCGTTCATTTATATAAAGAAAAATAAGTGATTGATTGCATTATCAAAAATGTTTAAACAAATACAAAATACTAGTGTTTTTAGAATCAATTTTTCAACTAAGCTTTTAAGGGGAGATAACTCTTATAGTGATTTTTTTTTATACTGGAATGATAATGAAATTTTCATTTTTTTACTTGTAGCAAGAAAACAAGTTCGGGGACATCATTTTTTCTTTTTATTTTCTTAAAGCATATTATAAAACCTATCTTCTCATATTTCATTTCAAAATTCTAACTTACAGATTTATTTTTATTCACAAATATGAGTTTTTTTTCATGAACTATCTATGCCAATTTGGGCAATTTTGCTTGATTTGTAACTTGAAAAATAGCAGGGTGACCCATACTTTTCATTATATTTTTGAAAAAAGTGTAGTAAAATCTTCATTTTAACTAAGTATAAGAAAGTTCTTTCTGAGGAAATATATACCAATACCTTAAATAGTTTCGGCGTTTACATAAGGCATTTAGCCATATAATAACACTTGGTCTCTTATATTACAACAGTGTTACTCACCGTCTAATATATTTAATATAAACTGGTACACTACACCACTAGAGGGTAGTACTGATGAGTAAATAGTTTCGTTTTGGTTCAGTTTTATCACTAAAGGATCTTTCTTTAGTGCTGTGTATCCTGAAAGATCTTCATCGGTAATTATTCCACCTGTAAGATTCAACTAAAAAAGGTTAAATTGAACTGAGTTGTCTTCATGTTTAATGAAACATGCGATCTGTAACAATGAATACAGTTAGCTAGCAATAAAACCAGATTTAATCCCCCATTTTCTACATAAGAAAATGCCTGTACCAAGTCAGGAATATGACAGTTGTTATCCATTCGTTTGATATGTTTTAGCTTCTGATTATGCCATTTGATTAGGGACTTTTCGTTTTGAATTTTCCTCGGAGTTCAGTATTTTTGTGATTTTACTTTTTTCATGTAGAAACAATAAAACATGTAATGTCAAAGTGAGATCAATAAGATAACAAAATAATTAAATTCAGAAGTGTTCAACAAGCTTAAGAATTTTAACTTGTTCACCCACTTCTTGTTTGCTTGATCATTGATCTTCATTCAGCATCAGTATTTGTCTTTGCCTCTTATTTGAAGACTGTAATACACTCTGTACGCTTGAACCCACATTCATATACAACTGTTTCCTATTGCAAAACAAAATGTATGCTTTTTCAAAGCATACCCTCTTTTAATTGCATCAGATCAAAATTCCTGTTCTTCACTACGGTTGACCATTATGCAGAATTTTCGTATTTGTGTACATGTTATTTGTTTACACATAAATCTGAGGCTGAAGTATTTTTCGTCGACAGATAGGCAACCAACAATCACTCGATCTATCTTTCTTTGTTTACATTTTGGATATCTGACTTCTTGTCTTATTTGAACTTTGAAAGGCGAAAACATGTACTTTAAAAGGCATTCTATTATAATTCATTTTTTTCTTCATTCGTAAAAACGGTAAATTTGTCTTTAAATACCGAAATGTAAATACCTTCTAGCATTTGTTACTTACCAGCATCGCGAATATCCGCCACAATGTCTTTTGTTAAGGTCCCATTATAAAAAGCATCAACACCTTCATCTGCTATGATTTCCAGTGTTCTGGCTAATTTTGGCATTTTGATAATGTCCCCAGCTTCATAAAAACTTCCGGTTTGTGGATTAGTAATTAAATCTCTGTAAGAGTATTAAACATATCTCAGTTAACAAGACACAGTCAACGTTTGAGAGACTTACGGTTCCAACTCTTTTAGGTAAAGTTGTTGTATGTTTTATATCCCTTTTGCTCCTACAGCTCTGCATATGTTTATGTTTTATACATCCTTGTCTTTCAAATTGTTGGGTTCTAGCATAAAAGTAAATTCTGAAAAGTGCTTCCACACAAATAAAAATAATAATAACGGTTTTTTTTTCCATTTAAGACAGAAATTTTGAAAATCTAAATACTAGACAAGTATATAAAACATTTTACTTAATAAAATCAAATGTGGCATATTCAAATTGCGTCTGGCGTAGAAAATTTTAATCCTGGTATCTATCATGAGTTTATCAACAACCATTGGGAAGATGATACTGCTGGTGGAGGGTTAATTCCTGATGGTATGCTTATTTGGCAAAACGTTACGGAACTTTGGGTCATCAATGCTCTTCAACTCCGTGTTTCATTTGGTCTTTATAACTTTTTTTTTATTCTAGTATCACTGATGAGTCTTTTGAAGACGAAACGCGCGTCTGGCGTACACAGTTTTAATCCTGGTATATATGATGAGTTTACAAGCAAAACCCTCTACAATCAACTAGGGGCCTCGGTGGCCAAGTGGTCTAAGTAGTTCTACTACTGTAATCACTAGCCAGTCAACACTGAGGTTGTGAGTTCGAATCCCACCCGTTCGGGTGCACTCGACTCCAATCTTAATTGACTAGGATTGTCAGTTTTCCTATCGAAGGTCTGTAGGTTTCTCCGGGCACACCGGCTTCCTCCACCAATACAAACTGGCTGCCACGAAATAGCCCAAAAGTGGCGCTTAAAAGTGGCGTTAAAACACCAACAATCAATCAATCTACAATCAACTGTGTTAGTCTAATCTTAGCTCATTTATAATAAATCCATGTTTAATAATATTTTGAATGAGGCATTGCTTTAATGCAGTCAATTTCTGCATTTTTTTCTGGTTAAATCTATGATGATTTACTTACTTTAATCCCTGTTGTCTTTTTATAACTTCAGTTTGGCCTGCCATAGCTATTGCAACTGGTATGCCTACAGTATATCCTTCTTTCAAAAGTTTGATTGTCGGCTGCAGCAAGTCTTTCCATGGAAGTTTACCGCCGATCTGATGAGCTTCCCAAAGACCACGAATTTCTCCAGGTATACCTACGGCTAACCCACCTGAGAGAAAGATAATTATGATATATCTCTTTCAACATGGAAGATACGATTGCTATAAAGAAAAATGTACAGCTACCATCAACATTCGTGTCATGGTTTTTTTTTTTCATTTGTCCATATTTCGATTGGCCAAAAACGAGGAAATGAAAAAATAGGGCTTACCATTTATAACAACTTAAATTTGAGCACTGTTTCTACGTCTAACGTGAACGAAACATTCAATTTCAGTGGCGGATCCAGAACTTTTCATAAGGGGGGCCCACTGACTGACCTAAGGGGGGCCCGCTCCAGTCATGCTTCAGTGATTCCCTATATAATCAACCAAATTTTTCTCACATAAGGGAGGCCGGGCCCCCAGACCCCCCTCCCCCCCCTGGATCCGCCTATGAATTTGCAAGCTGAATTATAAGTCAAAGAGATGCGAAAAATATCGAAGGAACATTCAAACTCATATAGTCGAAAATAAACAAACAACGCCATGGCTAAAAAAGAAAATGACCAAATAGAAAACAACAGTATATAAAACACAACATAGAAAACTAAGACTGAGCAACACGAATCCCACCAAGAACAGGTAGTTATCTCATGTGCTTACAGAAGGTCCTTCTCCACATGTGGCATCCGTTGTGTTCCTAATGTAAGTACAAACCCAGTAACAAGTCTAATTTGGTAGGTCACCTCAGGGACAAAGGAGGATATGATTATGGTTACGACGATTTGAACAGATATTCCATAACGATCAACCAACTCGTGATGGCCTCCATGAAGTTTCCGAAATGATGATGAACTCTTGGTTGAAAAGCGTGCTTGTGAGTAGCAACCCTCTATCATGGAAATCATGATAGGAAACGCAAGCCCTGGAAAATTGTTTCAACTGGGAGACATTTACTTCATATAAAGACGCTGCTGGAATTTAGCTACATAGAAATGGAAATTTCAAAAAAGTGGGAAGTGAAATCATCACTTTTGTCTTTCCCACCGACCCTTATGGTCAATTTCATGATGTAATTCAAGATATGAGGCAGACTTAAATGTATATGTTGTATCTTTTATGTCAAGTTCGTTGGGATAGATGCGGTCAACATAGTAACCAAACCTAGAATTATACACTGAGAGGACATCATCTTTATAGCGGAACGTGAAGTTATACGATAATGATAGCTTCTTTTCATTCTTCCTATATTTATGAATTCAGCCTCATATGAATAAAGGAATAAATCGACTAGAAGAGGAGCACAGTAAGTTCCCATAGGAATGTCAATAGTTTGTTGAAAACATGTCCTCCAAACGTTACAAATATGTTGTCAGACGGAGAATTCAAGCATCTGATGGCAGTTTAGAGAATTTTTTGTTTGAATCAGAATGAATGTTTACAAAGTACGATTTATCCCTCCCTATGACAAGATACTTGTGTCTACGTTGGTCATTGTTTCGTTGGCCATTCTTTCTCTGGCCGAAATGAATTATAAGTCAAGAAATTTGATGAATTTCTAGCTACAAATCAGAATACTATGAGACTTTTCTCACTGAAAAATCGGAGCAAATATCTTTTTATTTCTTATTTATAAGTTCAATGAAATGATAAGTCGCCGATAAAGTACATTGTGCAAACCAACCTTCTGTGGATGATCTACCAACATACATTGTTTCATTAGCTTCGCCGGGAGCCATCTCACGCGCTAAAATAGTATATGCCGCTTTTTTAGACCTACAATAAGAAACAAATAATGTTGTGTAGCAAACAATATGTTACAAATGAGAACTTTTGACCAAAAATAAGTTAATAATTTTAGTTTCATTTTGCTGACTAATATTTTAACCAGATATTTTAAGATCTATAATAGATTTTCCCCTATTAGTCTTTGTTAAATTTGCACTTTTCAAAAATTGTGCAGAATTTATATTTGTTTCAAATAAAGAAATACTTGGCATGAGTAAAGTTTTATTCTGTCCAGTACTATGGACAAAATTTCACATAACATTTCATTGCATATATGAAAATAACCATCACTGGAAGTTAACCAATCAAATTATCACACTTTTTAATCCTGTATACAAGCTTTAGTAACCATGTAACCTCAAGTTTCCAAAATATTCTAAAGAAACACCAAATAACAAAATAATGGTGCTTTGAAACACCCAAGATATGTGTTTATGACTCGGAAATTGTTTATTGCAATGAAATGTACGATTAATTTCCCACAACTGTCAAATTCAAGGTAATATTTTTTTTCGACCCTTTTTCGTATACCTAATACGTCAATGAGAGAGAGAAAAATCTGACAACATATTACAAAAGTAGTTTGCAGCAAGAAAATCGGGAATAAAGTACAAACCTTTCGTAAACTGTCATAAAGAAACCACCTCCAATACCACAGCTATGAAAATTGTGAATACATTGACAGAGAAGGGTGGCAATAGACGCATCTACAACAGAGGCACCACGTCTCGCCATCATGTCTCTGTAAAAAAGTGTCGATTAATTGATATATATTTTTTGGGCTTTTCAAAGATTTTGATAAACATTAGCTCTACGTTGCTTATATGTTACACATAAAGTATTTTTTGGTATGATTCACCACGGATATGCGATCGATACATTACGTTGCTTCATTGTTCATATTCAAATGTTCAATATTACTAAAGCTCACACATACAACACCATTGGTAAAAACAGTGAAGTATTCATTTACAATGCATACGGGCAGCAGCCACTTCCTTGATTACCAGCAGGGGTCAAGTTGTAAAATCCCTTCAAAACACTACCAGGCCTTTCCCCTTGATTTATAAGAAAACGAGGTAAAAGACCTGATAATTTAACACATATGGTTGTAGTATGGATACCGCATACATCATTAACAAGCAGTCTTATCCAACTCGAATATGCTACAGTTTTCCAGGAGGGTGCTATATTATGGCGGAATATTAAAAAAATATACATTTAGTGAGCTTTTAACGTACTAGTAGTAAAATTTTCGAGCAATTCCAGTGGAAGGAATTTAAATTCTCTGTTGTTACGTTGGGTCAACTTTGTCCTTTTTGTGGTAAAATAATCTCTGTACTGATGTCTGTGTTATTTTGTTTAATAAAATTATATTCACGAGAGATATATGTTAACGTTACATTGATAGGTCTTACGACTGCTCTACAGGAACTCATCACAGATGTTTAAACTAGTAGTAGCAGTATACTACTTACATTTAATAACAATCTTAACATTCCAACACTTACGTTCCGATTGATGCACAGGGAGGGCCTGCATCTGATGCCACAGCAGCGTATCTATAATGTCCTTCTATAGAGTCGGATACAAACTGAGGTGTTCCGGTAGTTGAAGGAGGTCTGATCGTCGGCGTCGGTGTTGTTGTCACAGATTCACTACCTTCAGATCCTGCCTCACCACATATAGGGTTCTTATTTTGATTGTCATCTTTATATATCTTAAGTCCCAGTACAACACCAAGGGCTATTATCAGTGAACAGATCAGAAAGGTTGAAACTAGGACCATGCGACTCTGTGAAATATGACTGAAAAAAATAAATAATAACAGGCGTTTGGTTAATATTACAAGAGTATGCGTTATAGTTGCAAATCATATAAATTCTTTACTTTTTAATCAATTGCCTACTTGTTGAGTTTGGTTGATTAATATTACAGCAAACAGTCTAAGCATTACAATTTTACTTCAAATTACTTTTAATAAGATTTGAAGAAAGTGCATGCTGAAATTACAGTTGTCCTTGACTTTAATATATCTAATATCTAGACCGTATACTTGTACTTTCCGATGGTTTATATTTTTTTCAAACGTTTGGTTTCGAGCGGACCAGTTGCAAAAATATTCCAGAAACACTTACGTTGCACTCATCTTTTTTATATTTGTTGCAGATTTTTTTTTTCGGAGGGACTAGAGAGGATAATGATCAGTTATCAGTAGCAGATAATGTCCATGTTCGTACATAACTATAAACATCAAAATACGGTTTAGCTAGCATCGTTTGTTGATGTGGTTCATACGTGTTTCTCATTTTTTATATAGATTCGACCGTTGGTTTACCTGTTTGATAGGTTTTACATTTTTGGGGCCCTTTATAGCTTGCTGTTCGGTGTGAGCCAAGGCTCTGTGTTGAAGGCCGTACTTTGACCTATAATGGTTTACTTTTACAAATTGTGACTTGGATAGAGAGTTGTCTCATTGGCACTCATACCACATCTTCTTATATTCTATATAATTTGCCAAAACTAATTTAAATTTACTAAAGGGGAGATTTTTTACAAAATTTTCTAATATTCCATAAAATTTGCTCTAAATCGCTCTCTCGTTGGCAGATGTAATGAAACTTTAATATTCCCCAATCTAAACTGTAACAAGCTTTCCTCGGAGTTCGGTATTTTTGTTATTTTACTTTTTCCCTCTATGTGTTGATATGTATAGTAAACAGAGCTAAAACGTGTTTAGCTCAATTCGATATGGGCATTAAAGAAATAATTAAAGGGAACTTGAATTCATATTAATTTTACCACGGGTTTGCTCGGTATGCTTACAATTTTAACACGACCGATAGCAATAGAGAAAAATGTAAACAAAAATGATAAAGATTATTAGCTATAATATAAAGAAAAGATAGTAATTGGCAAATAAAGGAATATAGCAAATGACCAAAAAATAAGAATAAGCATCTCAAAAACCCTCTGCAATAGACTATTTTCATATTACCAACTTTTGACTCCGGATTATATAATTTTTCGACAGGTTACCTTTTCTGTGGTTAGACATCCTAGTATTCGGTCAAGTAAGAGCAACCAATAGAAGAAAAATCAAACACATAATCCGTGCAATTTGAGGGGAAAGTTTTCTGTTTTCTGATGATTTTATCGTGTTAAGAAAATACAAAGCAGTTAATTTTCCCCATAAATTGTATCGATCAAAAAATTTCGGAGAAGGGTCTGGGAGCCGCGCAAGACCCCCAGAAGCTCTGGAAAAAATGACGCAAAATCGTGAATTCTGAGCGTTTCCCGGACCCTTTCTTAATCTGAAACACAAGTTTTATTTTAATTATTTTTTCGACAATATACTGGTCTCGAAGCAAAACATATAGATTCAGTGTAAGACTGTTAGTTATTAGGGATAACATCAAAAGACCGATATGTAGGATAACACATAAATTGTAGTTCAAATAGTTAAGTGTGTGGTTGCTGTTAGTGAGTTCCGGCTTGCAGGAAAACGTATTTAACCTGTCAATTATTTGTTTTTCAAATTAAGTTAAGAGGAGGTGATTATCATTGATAGAACTACGTTAATTCAGTTTAAAAAAAAAAACATTTCAATTACAACTTGATGTAGTTCCTTACTGGGATAAAAAGGTTGACTCGGGAAAACTGTTCTTAGACCTCATTGCTACATTATGTGCTATTTTGATATGTATACCGGCTGATTAATGTCGGATCTGTCTGTTCTGGTCTTGTATTGTTTAGACTTTTGTGTAATTTTTTTGTGACTTTGAAATTTAATAACAGTACAAAAATTAATACTTTAAGTACCGCTAAAATCGACGCTAGGGGCCGTCTTGACCTCTTTGTAGGGTATGAATGATTCGTTCATTGTTGAAAACCCTAAAGCGACTGTCATGATGAAGAACAGGAATAAAAGCCCTGTTCATTGATAATTTGTATTTTTTTCTATGTATTGTGTGCGATTTTGTCCCTTGCACATGTACTCCATATCCCTTTATTTCCTATTTAAGGGCCTTAAATATAATGAAACTCAAGTTTAAAACAAAATTAGATTTACAAATGAAATTCAACGCTAAGACAATAGTCATAAAGAAGGGTAATCAATGAACAATAGACAAACCCGGGAACAGATACCGGTAAGACACAGACATATAAACGACAAACAATAGACAATCAACACTGAAAACTAAAAATAAATGAGTGTCAGAGGGTGAACAGAACTTGCTTCTTGCAAGACAATCACCGTGAAAATAATTTGATATGAAGACAAGCTTTTGTTTCAACTTATAGTTTTTTTTGTTTTTTTTTTAGAAATTTCAAACATGAGGCATTTGCATCATTTGCCTCAATGTAGTTACGGCCCTGGGTACCGTTTCACAAAGCCTTCGTAAGTCTACGTGTCATCGTACGTTCATCGTAAATAAATCGTAGGTTTTACAGCCGTTTCACAAAGCCGTCGTAAGTTAAGATGAGCGTAAATAATACGTAAATCCTGGCTTAACTTACTACAGCTATACCCAGTCGTATCTCGATCGTAGTTTTTCCGCGAATATGAATTAAACCATATCTAAGATGGCTTTATTCTCGATCAAGATGCCGCAAATGTTAGAAGACGAAGAAGAATCTTCAATATTAGAACCACACTTTCTTCGTTTGATCATTTTGAAAATGAAATGGATATTATATCCAGATACAGACTGGAAAGACACAGTATCAATGAAATAACATTGGCAATAGAACCAGATATAAAACATGATACAAATAGGTCCCATGCACTTACTCCTGAAACGCAGGTTTTGTTAGCTTTGCGCTACTCACTGGTTCTCCGGCAAAGCGCCCATTTTATGACGCTGATTTGTAAGGGGGGGGGGGGGGGGTAGGACCTTTATCGGGACTCCGGGATCGGGTGTTTTTAAGCTCGGGATTTCGGGATTGTTCCTTTCGGGATCCGGGAAGTCTTTTTCCGAATTTCGGGATGTCGGGATTTAAATTTTTTTAAATTCGGGACCTCGGGATTCCATGACACCTCCTGTAAATTCTACATCCAACAGATCGATATCGGTGTCAACATTCAATTTTAATACAGATCTTCAGATTCGCGTATTATGTTTTATAAATGACGAAATCATCGAAATGTAATCTCCGTTTTTGTGAAGAGTGCAAGCACTCTTTCACGTCCGCACTTCTATCGAGTATGGCATGCCAAATAAACATTTTAGATAATAATTACGGATGGCGAATATATAATTACATATCAATAACTTACATTGTAATTTAGACGACATAAGAAGACACCATGTGACAATTTTAATTAGTCAATTGTTTTAGTGTAACAGAGTTGCTTTTTTTCTTAGATCTATAAAAAAACACAAAAAAAACCGAACTGGATGTTTTTATATCAATATTAATGCAAGTAAATAATTTAAACCCGTTTTCAATATTAAAGATCTGAAACTTTTATTATTAGTATAAATTTGATACAGAATTTAATACGATTAAACAATTATGCAAGTAGTCATAAAAATTGCTCTGCCTAATGAGTTTAATAAATCATATTGCACAGGGAGAAGCTTTTAAATACTTTCTTTCATTAAAAATGAAATTATGACGTCGGCTGAGAGGCATGGTATATATTGTCCGTTACATTTATTAACAACACCTTGTACAAATATTCTTTTTGAAAATAAAAACAGTTAAATAGAACAAACAAAACTATCCGTCACAATGATATATGAGGGTCTGGATTAGGGGGGGAAAGGGGGGTGGGTTTTACATTTCTGTATTCTGTATTTCTTTTGGCCATTTTTCTCTTTTATTCTGTAAATTCTTGTGTTCAGACCGTGCATATGAAAATTTCCTGTTGTATCATGATTTTGACATGATAAGATCTTTTTGTCTGTATCAACGACATATAAATATTTGAATCTACATTTTAAATTGATACAAAAAATCAAAATTCTCTGATCTATAGATTTTCATAAATGGAGTCTAAAATATATCCATAATAAATGCACTGTATCACATGCATACATGAGAACAACTACTTATAAACTGCTACGCGTCGCATACTATGTATAGAGACGTGCATCATAAATCTAAGTTAAAAGACAAATTAAAAAAAAAAGGAATTCTAAAAGCTTTCTTTGACAAATTTTATACTAACTTCATTTTAACAAGTTTAAATTACATTTTCTAAAATAGAGCTAAGAACTGTTTGTAATGTTGTAAATATAATTCGTTTGAAATTTTTATTCAAATACGCTGTTGAAGATTACTAAGCGCCAATAGAATACAATAATTTTGTATTTTATAAATTAGTGTCTTCGATAATGAAAAATTCGTCATCGATCAGTCTCATTATCATGTCGGTATTCGAAATGACTCGTTTCATTGTTATTACAAATAATAGGTCATAATAACATGACAGAGTTTTTTTTTTTGCTTCAGAATGTTCTAGATAAATATACAAAAAGCAAAGTTTAGATAATGTACCCTCATTAGCCTGGAAGTGGCTAGTCACATATAGTTAACAGCGTTTTTCTCACAATGATGTTCTACCTCCATAAGCCTGGAAATGTCGTGGCGGGTCACATATAATCAATCCTTCTGACTTCATAAATTTTGTTAGAGAGTCGGCTGAATTAAGACGTTATATGATGAAAATTAATTAATTTCCTTCCGTGAAAATGCATCGCATGTACAATAGAAATGAATCGCCCCTACAGTGAAAATTAAAGTCTAGTATCATTATTCGACAGTAAACATGAATCGCATAACGAAAACAGCATAGTGG